AACAATCCCACGGACAATGCGACGGATTTAAGGTTATGTCAAGGTACGTCTCTTGTGAATATCAATTGATTGTTAGGTTTTCTCTTCTGAAATTACATTATGACGCATTCACATACATTATTAATACAAATACATTTTCCATGGCGAGACGATGAGGAAACCACAAGCACTTCCACGGGTTCAAGAGGGGAAAATGCACAATATTACCGTTATTACAGAGCACGGAAGCGAGCGGAGCAGGAAAAAGAGTCGTTGAATAGAACTAGTGATCCTTCTACGACTGCTGTTTCTTCTACAATTAGCGTCGCAGGTTACGAAGTTTAACTTCTTCCGCGCCGAGAGACTCCACGCACTTTTTCTTTTTTAGAAACACGTTTAAAAGAATTAATATAAATAAAATCAAATCGCGTAGCATCAGACAAAGTATAAATTTGATGATGTAAATCACGTGTGCTACCGCGTAATGTTCATCTGACATAGCGAATATAAAATAATTAAATATTTAAATACGTGCAATAGACTATTTTTGGTTCAAACAGAGCTATATGCAAGTAATTATCACTGATGTTATCTTTAAAATATGTGGAAATTTAATAGCTAACTTTAAAACAATGGCAAACACTAAACCAATCAGAAAATTCCATTTCGTTTTTCGCGCATGCTGCAAGAACGATTTGTCGCAGAATGCTCTAATGTTGACAGTGACCTTCCTCGTGCTTGAAACTATCTGTATGGCAAATTTCTTCGCTTTCTGTAGGATGGTTTAGGAGTCTATAGACGACATACACACACAGACTTCATTTATATATATATACAGATTAAATCTACTTCATATAAGGAAAAATTGGTACATTTTTTAAATCATGCTATAACTTTTATATTTTTTCCAGCTTTAAATACGAGGCTATTTTTTATTAACAGTCGAATTGAAGTATGTGATGAATTTAAGTGTAAGGAAAGATTGAAACAGAGAAATTTAATGTTTAATTTTGTCTAATTCGCAATTAAAAGAATTGCTTTTTAAAATAAATTTTTCTAAAAGGAAGCAATTCTGGTTTTAAATAACTTATTCTGCCCTTTAATTGGTTAATAGGTTACGACAACAGCAACAACCGACTTTTCATCTGCTTTCTTTAAAAAAGTTAAAAGAAATTCTCGCAACACATTTTAGTATTAATTTTAGGTAAAATAAAGATAATGCCTGGAAAATTAACCGAGACTACATAAAATCGATATTTAAAAGTTATGAGCAATATTTTATGTATTACATTTTTGCACTCATCCATAAAAATGTTGTTCTTTTTTAAATTTTTTAAAATTATTTTAGTTCATTATCTTTGTCACACGTTCATTAAGTCTTGGGAAAAAAATTGCACCTTAATTTTATTTCCAGAAACACGTCATAAACGCACATCTGACAAAAAAGAAGCACGTGATTTCAAATAACTTCAGGAATGCTAGTTTGGTGCCATAGCATCGATTCACATTCCAATCGCGTTGATGACCGAACTTGTAAAAAATTATTAAACTTTAAAGAGCATATGATGAAATCTTAAACAGAATCATTTACAATTATATTGCAACGGTTAACCTTAAACTAATGCAAACAGTTGAGCACGAATTAACTATCCAAAATGATCTTAAATAGTTTAAAAAATAAACAGGAATCGATGAGACTGTTTTTGCTAGTTTATATAGTAAATGATAAGATAATAGACACTCATTTCAAATTATAATAAAAATTATGTACCAGTTTTAAAACTTAGAACATGTTCTTTCTTATTGGTTCACCTGTGTTATAATCGTCATGATTTAAGCAAAAAACATGATAATTTTTTTAGTATTTGACATTATCCGCTACTTGAGTGTTTATGAAAGATTTTTAAGAGTTAGTTCATTATTAGTTAGTTAGTTAATTTCATTATTAGTTTTTTTAAAAATAATGTTTGAATATTTTTAAAGTAATTGTTGATTCACCATTTTGAATCTTTTATTAATTCTTTAATGAAATGAAACTGCTTATTTTAACACATTCTAACAGGTTGGACGTCCTCTGACTGATTCGGTGATTTGGTTTCCATCCTTATCAGCGCACCAGCAGTATCCAGTTGATCCGTGGCACTGTACTTGGCTGTAGCTACCATCTGCATCACATTTCGGAATGAAGTTGCCAATAGCGTCTGAAAATTTTTTTTAAATTAATATTTATATAAAATCAAAATTTCTTGGCCAAAAAAAACTTTTCAAACATGGAATTTAGATAATTCTTAATTTTAAAGCATTATTATTGTGGATTTTAAAATATTAATATTGTATATTGTAAATTAAAAATATTATTTACAAACAATATTGATTTATTTCTGAGATATTCATGCGGATTATCTACGGTAAATTTTTTACTGAACACTCATATTGTTTTTATTTTATTTAAAAAAATATTTCTCAAGAAAGTAAGGTTAATGCAGTATGTGTAAAATTAAAAGTAGCAACACATGAAGTTTTTGTCTGCTTTCAAGTCAATACGCGTTATAAATTTGCAGGGGTGACGTAAATTTAATAAATGCGAACTATCCTTTTATTTGCCAATTGGAATTTGTTGCATTTTGTTGTAAGCATAACACTAATAAGGTTTATTCAATATGATAAAAACATTATCTTGATAGTTATGTTAAAAAGAAAGCGCTTCCGAATAATCTAAATTGCTTATCTTTCTAAAGACACCTTTGTTATTTATTTATGCCATTCAATTATGTAATATGTCATATTGTGTTTATAATTGAATCAAATTAAAGAAACCTCAATCCTGATATGTCATTCCTTCATATGAGCTTTCATATTTTAATTATAATTGAATCGAATAATCTTAAGAAAACTCAATCCTAATATTCTATTGGACTATATAATATTTCGTATTATAATTTTAACTGAATCGAATAATCGTAAGAAAATTCAATTCTAATATGATATTCTATTATATAAGCTTTCGTGTTGTAATTATATTTGAATAAAATTATCGTAAGAAAACTCAATCCTATTTTGCCATTTCGTTATATAAGCTTCCGTGTTGTAATTATAATTGAATCGTATGATCTTAAAGTAGGGTAAACCAACCAGTGAAGGAACATTTCATATATATTGATTAAAAATAAGAATTTGAAAGTTTTTCTTTAGATTGATTGGTAATAATAGCTTACTGCCAAACAATAGGAAGTCATCTAGCAATGTTTTGGATTATCTGGTCACATAGACTTCTCTGGAAAATTTTTTAAATTTGTTATTATCTCTGCAACACCTTGTTTCTTTGAAAAAATTATAAGGTGAGTGTTTGCATTTATATGTTTGAAGTGGAATTAATTGCATGTAAAAGTTTTATTTTTCTCACTGTGAAAATAAGAATTCAAAATATAGTTATTGAAGTTACGTTTTATTTATTTTTAAGCATCATAGCATATTCAAGTACTGAGATAAGGGGGTGTTTATTCACTGGATCACCAAACGATAAAAACCAGTGAAAGAACAAGTGTTCTGTTACTGTTTTTTTTCTAAGTTAATGAAAATGAAAGAAAAGCTTTAACTTTCCTGTATCTTTAGTGATGTTTTGCACTAAAAACAACTTCTAACCAGTGAAGGAACAGGCATGTTCCTTTACTGGGCATAGATTTCCCAGTGAATGAATAGTATGTGTTAATATGTTGACACTTTACTTTTCAATTCATGATTACAAAAAAAAAGTTAGCATTTTCCAAGAATTTGTATGTTATAATTTCAAGAATAGGCTAGTTTTTAGATATTTGTAGGGTATATAAATTCATAAAGAGCATTAAAAAATAACCAAAATGAAGTGTCCCTTTACTGGGAAATTTTGTGTTCCTTCACTGGTAAGAGCTGTTCCTTTACTTGGTCTTCTTACTACTTGTTATTTGATCCTCCAAAACTTCAAAACAACATTTTGTAAGTTCTCTACAATTTTTTTTTACATGATTTGCAATTAGAAGGAAATATTGTAACACTGTTGTGTAACAAAAATTACGAATTTTGAAATTAATATGATTTTTTAAAAAGCAAGCGAAGCTTAAGTGTTCCTTCAATGGTTAGTTTACCCTAGGAACTCTATCAGAAAATGTACTTGAAAATAAATAACTTCATTAAAATCGAGCAAAAGTATAAAACAACGAAATACATCTTATTATGCAAATAAGACGTGTTTTATTGATTATAAGAACAGTATGCCTATCCATATTCTAAAATCTTTGTTCTTTTTTCATCTTTAAGATGTTTTCACTGATGAAAAACTAAATAACAAAAGTAAAGAAAGCTTGAAATAAGCTTAGAACTATTGCAAAAAGGATGAATAGGGTAAATGAAATCATAAATCGTAACAAATTTTCAGTTACTGAAAATTGAAATTACGGAACATTTGTGATTAAAATTTCTATAAAATTCAAAGAATTTTTCGGTTAAATTGTATATTTGTATTTTTTGAAAAAGTCCAAGTTTTGCTGTTCAACATTTTATATTAAATTTTGCCATAAAATTTAATACAATATTTTGAATGCTAGTAATATTCATAAAATTAAGGTCTCGAGGGAACTCTTACAAAATGGATAAATAATCATTTGTAAAAAGAAAAACACTACAGAAAATATTCGGGAAAAAAATTACTCTAAATTACTATAACGTTTGAACAAATTAATATTAAAAACAAAAATCATGTTAACAATGAAAAAAAAGCCTCTCAGCAAGACAAATTTTAATTCATCAGCTGCATTTCTACAGGATATACAGTGGCTCGCATGGTATTTTTTACAAGTTTAACAGCTTCTCGAATAAAATATCTAACGTTAAATTTTATTTATTATATCGTACGTCCTGTACATTTCTTACATACTGAAATAAATTTATTCTCGTAAATTATTTATTTTAAATTATTCCTTCTTCATTTTATTCTCGTAAATTTAGCCATGCACATTTAATTTCTCATATTTATTCGTAATTTTAAATTATAAGATATTGAATCAGTTGATAATTCTTGCAAAGTGACTTAAGTTATTTCGGATTATGTGTGAAGTTTTAATGTTGATATTAAAAATCTATCGTTAAGAATATTTCTAAAAACATTTCTCAAAATAAAATAAAATAAACTAAGTTTTTTGCTATTTTCTGATTTTGGATTACTCTGAGAAGATTTTAAGAAATTAAGACTGACGAACAATTCTCTTCAAAGAAAAGTATCAAAAATGTATTTGTTTTCATATCCTGGAAAGAATTAAGATATCAACAATTCATTTTTTTCGCCAAATTTAAATATAAATTTATATCTTACTTTTAGCCTGTTCTTGTTGTCTTTGCATTTGGCATGCAGTTTGGGCTCCAATTACCATAGCAACGAGACAGGAGAATAAAGCCAAGACAGCGAAAATCTTCATGATTTATTTTTCTGGAAAAAACATGTTCTGTATTTTGTTGTTATAATAAAACAATTTTGAAATACTGCAGTAAAGTCTATATTTTAAACAAACTTTACTTCATAAATACTTATAAGAAAATTTTTTAATCAATCATACAAAAACTAGAGAGGGACATATTCACTCTTCAATCATATTCTTTGATCAATATACAAGGAATTCCGTTCACTGAAAAAAATATAGTAAAAGCTATAAAATTTCGTTAATAATTAACGTGTTTCTTGCTCTATGGGAACAACAAAACCTTGGTAATTTTTACCGAAATGGTTATGAGTTTTTTAAAATAAACAGAGAAATATACTTTTAAAATACGTAATAAAATTTGGTAAATTTAGTAAGTTTATCATGATACCTTAGAACATGGCCTATTTTTCGGTTAAATTTGTTTTACAGTTTTGTATTTTTTACTGAATGTGTGTTAATAAAAACTATAATTTCGAAAACCAAAGTTTTCGGTAAACCATTGCCATGCGAACGGAGAACATTATTAAATAAATAGTTTAAATACCATCTATTTTGGGTTTTAATACCAGAATTATGATTTTTCTTTTCAACAGAAATGTCCTTACCATGCAGTACGTTAATAGCAAAATATTTTTCTACGTGTAATGATTGCCCTTATGTTTTTAGAATCCATTTTAAGAATAAAGTATGCACATTAGTTTTTGCAAATTAATACTTGATCCAGGAAAATAAAAAAAAAAAGAATAGAAGAATCAAAACCTACCAAATCTCTAGGTAGGAAGACGTAACTGAAATTTTTTAAAACTTGTTTGATTGCCAGAGAAACTGAAAGGAGTTGAAGGGTGGCTATTAGAAACATCTCCAGGATTTATTAGTCAATGATACAGGTTTCGATGTTCATCGGACTAAGAAATTAGTTACCATTCATAGATAAGCTATTTGTGCGAATTTTTTGCAGGAAAAAATATGCAGGGCGTTTCACAATGATCACCATTAATACATAATTTTAAAATCCTTCTAGGAAATTGAGTAAAAAAATTACATATATGAAAAAATAGCATTTCAGAGGAAACAATGAAAATGCTTTTAAAATGTGTTGGATCACTAGCGAGAAAGGTGGGACGAAAACATCAATCTCCTATCGAATGCCTCCAAAAGTCGAGCGGGTTTGAATGTCTTCACTTCAAACTTTCTCTCTAGTAATACAGCACATTCGTATATATTTTTCCTCTTAGCTCAAACATTACTCACTAATTGGAATGTATTTCTTTTTTTGCTATACATTTCAAGAATATGTACTAATCGCAGCGATTTTAAAGCACTCTGTAAGTGTCAATAACTAACGTTTCACGCATGCTGTATGTTCTTTTTCAGGTAATTTGTTTTCATTATGTTAAAAAAACGAAAAAAGAAAAAAAAATTACATTCGAAATCGATTTAAAAATAAGCGTGAAAACAAACATAGTCATTTCTTTCGTTAAAGTATTATAATTCATACAAAAGCTACCGTAAAAAACACTTACATATAAGATTTTACTAAATTTTATTTCCGAACCAAATTGAAAAACTTATATAGGATGTTAAAATTTGATAAAACATCTATATTTTGACATAGAAAAAATGGAGTCACGAATGCTAAGGTTGACAGTTTCAGGGACAGTAAATAGCACAAAAGAAAACGATAGCAGATAATATGAACAAAAACGATTATAACTCTTTTAACATGCAGTGTGATTATCAAATAACTTTGCCAACAAATGACCCAATGTAGATCATACTATTTAAGTGAACGGAATAAAATTTTGTGCATGAGTATTATGATCTATGTGCTCAAGAAAAATATTTAAAGTGATTGCGAAACGACGATTGCAGTTACAGTGACAAAATTTTGATATTTCCAAAATACAGCTCCCACTTTTTTTTAATCGAAGTGTAATCCATATAATAAGAAACCTAACGATATTTTTAAAAAAACGGAATAATATTTTTAACAAAAGAAATGGCAACTATAGGCTTTTGCCACTCGTCGCCATTTTCTCATATTTGGTTTAATTAACAAAAATGTCTTTACAAAACAAGTGTGGTAATTTCACTAAAATTCATTTCTCTGTGTAGAGAGGCTATTTTTTTATAACTCTGTGGGCATACAATGCATTCTAATTTGAATTTTAACGAAATAGCAATTTAAGTTGGTTCATTACCAATAATTGGTAAACTTAAATTTTCATAAAAAATAGTTAAGATTTATCAAATATTTTAATATGGGGTAAATATTCACTATGATATAAGGGCTTACCAAGATGAACGATAAAACGCGAGATTTATTGAGTAGATGTTCAGTGTTTTTAATTTTTAAGAAAGTTAAAAGTTCAAAACAATACAGCATAAAGAGCAAAATCAGCTTTGTACCAAGCATTGTTTTCTATTTTTTAGATTTATTAACTTTCATACTGACCATGTTATGAATATATGTCAGTACTGCATAGATGTTTAGGAAAAATATATGTGAAACATACATTTATTTCACTTCTTCATAATACAATAAATCATCATCACATCTTCACAATGTATATATACAATGAAAATGCTNTCTTCGTCAGAATCTCTTGCGATTTAGTTTCATTCAAATTATTTATTTCAACAAGCATAAATTTACCACATTTTTAAAAAAAAATGAAGAGTTTTAGAATACATTTTAAATCACAATTTGAAAACAGAAACGCGAGTCGAATAAACTCTCTTTAAAAAACATACATCACCAAGACACCCGTGCAAGAACATATAGTTCAGTATCCCCAATCAGATTTATGAAATTTTTAAATCAATCATAATAATTCCAAAAGGGATTTATAGTTAAAGCCAACATAAAATTTCGGAGAGAGACTTCAAAGTGTATGGCTATCACAAAAGAGGTCACCGATGACCAAAAGTTCTCCATGGAAGGGAAAGGGCACGGAACAGCAATCCTGCTTGAGCAATCCTTTCCAGTTTCCTGCTTGAAATAAAAGATCAAAGGGATCTTGAAGAGAACCAGAATTCTTAAAAACAAGTAAAAGGAGCTTAAACATCTAAAAGAGGAAAATTAACCAAAAATAAAAGTGTCGAAAATACACTTAAAAAACGTATAAAGAGTAAAGTTAGGTAAAACATCAGATGGTAAAAATAAGAAAAATCCCATCAAAAACATGTGAGACCTGAAATAAGGTTAATGACATAATTAAAATAGTTGACTGAAAGTTCAAAAATTCTAGTATCCCCTTTTCAAGGCAATGTGCCTCTATGATTAAAAATGTTTTGATGTATACCAAGGTTTCTCTAAAAGGATAAAAATTCAAAAATGAGGATGCTGAAGTTCACTCAGATCCAAAACTTCTGTTCAAATGTCCAGTGTATGAGGAGGATTTCAGTCCAAGAGGAGGACAAAGTGACCAGAGTACGGTAAAAACAAGGCAAAGTACTAAAAAGCAAATATTAAAACCAGGAAATCTAAAAGCCAAAAGTTTAAAACTAGATTAAATTAGTCAGGTGTACTCTCAAAGGTAAGCAGATCTTCCAAGGTATATTTAAGAATTTCAATAATTTTTCTCCTGTATGATTTTTCTCTTTTTTTCCCTAAAGCATGGCATAAAACCATTTATTCGGTTAGAATTATTTTTAAGTTTTTTTTTTTTAAGTTTTAAGTTTTTGAAACTCACAATTTCTGGTAAACCGCTACCATACGAACGGAAAAACTACCAAATGAATTCTTAATTACTATTGTATATTTGGGTATTTTTAATAGAATTAAGTTTTTTTTTTGTTTGTCTCAGCTCCTGATTTTTCGGCTAGCCAAATATCGTAGTTATTGCATTCATCATTTTTTTCTCCTTAAACGTCAATATTTTTAAAAAGCAAACAAAAATATTTTGTTTTTAAATTATACAAATATTGCAACTTCATTTGTCAATGTGTTAATGGTAACGAAATAGGCGATTACCTGGAATAATCATATGAATTTCATATGAAAAAAGCTTTACCTGAAAAGTACACATTGTGTGACTGAATTCATAGAATAAATTATTTTGCCCGTTGACGTCATTCGAATCACTATAATAGCAATTCCAATAGAAAACGGTTTTTATCTCTCCTTATTAAGGTTTTTTTTTTATTTTGAAAACTTTTTACTCTATAAATGTTAAGATTTATATCCGGCATCATGTAATCTGTCTCAAACTTCTACTTTTGTTTAACATCTGCTCGAGTGTGAGTATATAAGATTTGTTTAACAATGGAAAAACAGTTAATATCTAAATAAATTAAAGCTGAAAAAGTTCACGGAAAATCACATAAATTGGCAATAACTTTCGAACATTTTGAAATTTTGTTTTAAAATAAAAATTTAAAATAAAGGGCTCTTTTAGCTTGCCAAATTTTAAATACGAAGTTGTATACTTCAACAAATTACAGATCGGTCGAACATGGTACGAGGGTTGCTATTTATATTTCTGGCCTAATAATAAAAAAACAAGTATGTAGGATCGAAATTGGTTTTATTGCTTTTCAAAATATTCTCCATGATGATCAATACACTTTTGCATGCGTTTGAACCAATTTTCAAAGCACTTTTTCCAGTCCGATTGAGGTAACTCCAAAACATGCGTTTTGAATGCATCAACCGCTTCTTCGGGGGTCGAAAATCGTTGTCCACGTAATTTATTTTTGATGTGTGGGAATAAGAAGAAGTCATTGGGTGCCAAATCAGGGCTGTACGGCGGATGACCCATCAGTTCGATCTTTCGCTCCGTCAGAAATGCCTTTGTTTGAGTCGATGTGTGAGAGCTCGCATTGTCATGATGAAGAATGATTCGCCTGTTCTTCTGCTTTTTTCGAATTTCTCCGATGACTTCTGGCAAACAAATGGTCGTGTACCATTCAGAATTGACCGTCCTGCGTTGCTCTAACGCCACTGTTGCCACATGACCGTTAATGCCGAAGAAACAGGCAATCATTTGTTTCGATGTGCTTCTTCCTCGAACAACTTTTGTTGGTTTTGCCTCGTCTTGGAAGACCCATACAGTTGATTGCTGTTTTGTTTCCGGCTCATATGCATAGATCCATGATTCGTCACCTGTGTAGATGTTATACACAGCCTTTGATGTACCTTGAACGTATTTTTCCAACATTTCCTTGCACCAATCGACACGAGCCTTTTTTTGAGCGTTTGTCAGATTATGCGGGATCCAACGCGAACAAATTTTTTTTACGCTCAAATGTTCATGCAATATTTTATTGATGCTAGTCATACTAATGTCCAAAGACGCCTCTATCTCACGGTATGTCACATGACGATCTTGCTTTATCAGTTCACGCACAGCATCGATCTTTTCTGGCACAACAACGGATTTTGGACGACCTGCACGGGATTCGTCCTGGATCGAACATCGACCACGATTAAATTCGCTATACTAATTTTTTACAGTGCTGTAGGATGGCGCTTTATCGCTGAATAAAGAATTAAGTTCATCGAAGCACTCTTGTCTTGACAATCCACGTCGAAAGTTATGAAAAATAATGGCACGAAAATTTTCACCATTCAATTCCATTTTTTGAAGGAGAAGAACTTTTCAATTTACTGTCAACAACACAAATGAAGCTATAATGGTAAATCGTCTGCTGAATTAATGTTTAAAAATATCAAACTTTCGATTAAAATCGTCTGCTGTCGTCTAGAAACCCTTACTGTTGCCAAGGCCAGAAATATAAATAGCAACCCTCGCATTTCCCCCCCCCCCTACAAGTTTCACAGGTAATTATTGTTTTAATTATCATATGAATAATATGTTTATTATTACATAAATAATAATTTTATTTTTCAGTACTCTCTGTACTGTTTTTTACTCACCTTCGTAATGTTAAGTTTCTAAGTTATATTTTCACAGCAAAGCAAAATATATTGTTAAGTTGAACTCCCAAAGCAGCTGCTGCCGTTGCGATTTTTTAATATCGAATAGATAAACGCATCTTTAAGATAAGTACGGTAATAACTATTTATCAATAGCCTAAAAATGCAGAACGAACGAACAATAAATAAAAAAGACACCTTTTCTTTTCCTCACCAGCCCCAGTAGAGGATGGGGGGCGAGGAGGGTACAGAGGAGGGGATGTGAGTTCGGATGCTACCTTTCGAAGAATCCCCGTGTATTAAATGATGGCTGGTGCGCGTTAAATCTGTCGGGGTCACAAAGTCCTCTAAGTTCCCATAAGGAATCAGTACCTCTGGGATTCTCCGGTTCAGTTTACGATCCATGGATGAATAAATTGACTATGTTTGGGTCATCCCACGCCCGGTGGCTAAACGGTAGCGCTTCGCGCTATCGTGCCACAGGTCCCTGTTTCGATCCTCGGGCAAGGTTGACTCAGCCTTTCATCCCTTCAGTGGATCGATAAATGAGTACCAAGTATGCTTGGGAACTAAACACAGGGGGTTCAGCGTTCGGCTGACCACCTGACTGGAACATCTGCTCTTGCACACCAGAGCCCAAGATCAAGAAAACTGAGATGGGCACAGTAGGCCTTGGCCCTCTTTGGGCTGTCACGCCGCTGAGTTTGAGTTTGGGTCATCCCTATAAAAAGGGCCATGACGTGTGTGCGACTGACGTCATAATCTTTGAAGTAGATTGCGCCACTGAGCAAGAAATACACTCTCTGCCTTAAAAATTAGCTTGATTTCAAGCAGGCTTGCTGGTATTGTCAAGTCGCATAAATAACAACGACAAATTTACCACAATTTCTTTTCCAGTATGAGAATACCGTCGTGATTTTTATACTTTGATTTATTACATTGAATTTATTTTTGTTAACTTATTTGCGTTTTAAAATTTAAATTTTTTAAAACTGAGACGTAAACTTTAGAACTGATACTATCAATATATGAATAGAAATTTTGGGGAGTGTTAAACCATAATATCGTGCAAATTCGTTGTAATCTTAATCTAGCCTTTTGTTCGACAGTATTACCATGCAGCTGCTTAAACTTGATTATATTTTACTATGGTTCATATTGAGCAAAAACATGGTTGAATTTAAGATCCTGTAAAAGTTGCAACAAATTTTCAATGTAAGTAGCTTCAAAGTACCTACATCGAGGTTTAGTATTGAATAAGATTTTCTCAGTCTAATAACTATATTATTATTAAAAATCTTCAGTTAATCAGATGAAAATCCATTGTTTTCAGTTTGAATAATTTACGATTGGTTTACAATTTCTTATTATTTTACGGTTGGTTTACCATTATTATCATTTTACGGTTGGTTTACTGTTATTATTATATTACGGTTACTTAACCATTATTCATTAATTTTGAGATACATCCTTAACTGAAGATAAAAGCAATCAACGCATCACACTTAACAATCAATTATAAAAGTCAAAAGTATTTCTAACTAATTTAGATAAAGCATACTTTAAATAGTAAGTTCAAATAATAAAGAAAAATGAATTCGAAATTTGACTCACAGAAATCCACCAAGTCACGAGAAGCTTTTTTTAATGGTTTATTCAATGGTTTATTCAATAAAAAAAAATTTTCGAAGTTTATATAGCAAATGAACTGATAAAATGATTGCGCTTAAAATGATACTAAAATCTTTATTTCATTAATAAACTTATAAAGTGCTCTTCCTTGTTGGTTCACTTGCTGTTATAGTAATTGTGTTTTAAAAAAGAGACATAATGATAATGATATAATTATGAGGAGTTGTTTGATGTCTGAGAGTTATTTTGACAATTATAGGACAATTCAATTAAACTGTTGTTGTTTTATTGTTTATATAAGAAACAATAAAATTTTGTATTGTTCCCTAATTTTTTTAGTTATTGCCTGAAATTTATTTTATTTATTTTTACAAGATATATCATGTATTTAAGTACGTAATTATAGGACAATTCGTCCTACTTTTGTAACGTCATTTTCAAAATGACTTTTTAATGGATAGTTTTGTATCAAATAAATTAGAACAATTTTAAGTTGAACAAGATTAAAAAAGCGCAATTAATTGTTAAGTAAAATTAATTATATAGATCACTGAAGCAAAATATCCAATTTTTATTAATTCTAACAGTTTGGTATTCTTCAGTTGTATGTGTGATTTGGTTTGGTTCGCTATATTAATACTAAGAAACCACTTTAATCTATTTTAAATCATTGCCAAAGGATTATTTCATTTATACGCTAAATATACAACACACAATAGACCTGAAAATTACGTCTCGCCACGTAGCGAGTCAAAATATAATTAGCATCTTAGATTTAATAAACAACCGGTCACTTTTTTCCATGTTTTTTTTCTTTCTGAAAATTGTTTATTGATAAAAGTTTATCCATACCGTAAATAAAAAAAAACCGTAGTTTAAGTGACTTACACTTGAAACAATGCGATGATTCTAAACTATATATAATCTTGCCGTGAAGAACTATCCGAGCATTAGAACAGACAAATAACTTAAATATTTTAAAAGTCATTAAACTTTTTTAAAAAAATTGCCAATTCGGAGACATTTTTCCATCTAGATGAAATTTATCAAAATCGCCGTCTAATTTTCAGTTTTTGTACATTTTCATGAGCCCAGACTCTGCAGCATTGTAGTAAGTTCTTAAATATTAAAAAATTAGACCACAAACGTTTTTTTTATTTTCACAAAACTGAGTCTTTTCTCCATATTGACGTTTTGCGCCATTTTCAAAATAATCGTAGAGGGCGCTCTCTTTAGATGGCTAAACTTGACCCAACAGTCGCGAGTAACAAATGCAAACTCACAGCAGTTATAAAAATAACATATTATTAGCATAAAAAGCATCATTTCAATTGCGACGGAGCCTTTGAAAAACAGCCTTAAATTCCTTTTGCTTCCCCAAATATATTTCTTAAAAATAGATTTTTAAATTAAGTATGTTTAACAACATTTTTCACATACTTATGTTATTTTTTTCGTTGCATTAACTTCTTATAGCCGTAGATTATTTCTGATATGAATCTTTTTTAAAAATATAATTTTATCTAAGCAAAAAAAAAGAAAAAAAGAAGGAAAGAAACGCTTGCCAATAGTGGCTATTAAATTAAAATGATATTGGTCACCGACTCATTATGCTGGCTACTGACTGAAAATAGATTTTTAACTATTTACTGACTAATTTTTTACTACTAACTAATTATTTAGTAACTAAAATTTCCATGCAACACTACTTATCTGTTAATATATCACTGAATTTTAAAGCAATTGATAAATTTCCGTGAGTATTTTTGCATCGTATAAATTAGAATAAAAGTTCATAAGAATGCAATTAATAATTTTTATATCCTATTATATATATAGATATTATATGAAAAGTATTAACATCTAATCTAGAATATTATTAATAATTATAATTTACGAAAATTTTAAAAAAAGCAATGTTTTAAAAAGAAGCTTTCACTCGTTGCTGAGAAATTTATTATATTTATTGATTTATTGCTAAAATATGTTTATTTTTTTGGAATTTCTAACTGTTCAGTTTTCATCAATATATTTGGTGAATTAGTTTGTTTTCTTTTAATGCGAAATAAGCTGAGTATTGTTTTTTTACTTTATTTTCTGTTATCAACAAAAGATTTATTTCAGAAATCAATTAAATAAGCATAACACATCATTAATGCCATCATTTAAGAATTAATATGTCAATACGCAAAAGAATTACTCAACGTATTGTTGAATTACAAGTTCTTCATAATAAATATTCTACAAAAAATATGCAGATCAAGACAATTTTTTTAAACAAAATAAAGAGTAAATATTAAACTTAACTATGTCGTATTTGTATATTTATATAAAAATTGCTGACAAGAAAGAGAACTGTAGTTATGTATAAGTTAACAAGCGACTAGGGGAAGGACGATTCCATAATGTTAAAAACTTAGAGTTTCGTCGGAAGAGTGAAAATACGGAAACTTCGTAACCTGCGACGTTAATTGTAGCAGGATCACTAGTTCGACTCTTTTTCCTGCTTCGCTCGCTTCCGTGCTCTGTAATAACGCTAATAGTGTGCATTTTTCCCTCGTGGACCTCTTAAGCCAGTGGAAGTGCTTGTGGTTGCCTCATCGTCTAGCCATGGGAAATGTATTTGTATTAACAGTGTATGTGAATGCGTCATAATGCAATTTCAAAAGAGAAAACTTAACAATCACTTGATATTCACAAGAGACGTACCTTGACATGACCTTAAATCCGTCGCATTGTCCATGGGATTGTTTTCATTCATTTTTTACAATTGTTATCCACTAAATTTGAAAATAAAAAATACTATCCTATTAAATTATATGTGTATCAAATCAAACTAAAAAAATATTTATAGAAAAACAATACTTTTATGACTTTTATTATTTTTATGCTAGTGAGAACTAAAACAATAATGGAAATGAATGAGGGAAAACTGGATCCTACCACGTGATTTCCCGGCCAATTAAGATTTAGTGTTAAACGTTTAACGCAACCTTGTTGGAAGTCGCATAAGAAGTATAACTTCAAAAAAAGAATAGAAAAAAAAAAGAATACATAGTAATTTAATGTAAAACTATAAAAAATACACTCTGGTAAAAAGAAAAAAACTCAGTCTGTTTAAAAATCAATTCCAAGAATTTCAAAAATTATCTTCTTTATTTTTCATTATATCATTTCGTGATGCTTTCTTATTAATGCTTATGTAATCATTATTTTTTCGTAACTTTTAGAATTCTTTATTTAAGATAACAGTGCTGAAGTTAATCTAATCGGTTAAGTTGGTCTAGTCAAAAAGTGTGAATGTATCAAAACCTAGAATAGTAACATTACCACTGACATATCCCAAAAATTTCCTTTCATATGAAGTTAGAAAAATAAACTGCATCGTTAAATTAACGTGAAACGAGCAGATATTAATAAATTTCCCTCTCTGACAGAAAATTGAGAAGGCCACTGATGCCTTTTTTGGGGTTTTCAACTTAACGTTACATTTTGTCAAACACTATAACATTTAGAATCTTCAAATTACGAATATAAGTAGGAAATTGTATGGAGATTACAATGGAGTAAATAAAAAATTCCATAGTTCATTCAAGAATTTTTTACTCTTAAACTTGATGGAAAAATAACATGTGGGTAGCTCTATAGCCGCAAGAATGCAGCTATAGAAGTTAAATTTGGTATGTTGAAAGAGCCAAATTTGTTTATAAACATAACACAATCTTTTTTTCCTTATTGAAATTCGTATTCGTTTCAAAGTTATTACAAACTTTTTCCTTTTTTACTTAAATAATAAGTATTTATCGATTGTTATAGAAAAATGGATCATTTACTCGATTTTCATAATATCCCTCTTGACTTAATATCAAAAATAAAAAAAAGAAAGAAAAGAAATATTATATAGAAAAAGATTAAGTGTTGCCAAATATAAAACTTCGACATTTCAAATCGACATTTGAAAATATATTTAGAATAAAGAGAAATAAGAATTGCTTCCAATATGATCTGTTAACAAGAAAAATTACTTCTAATTTATTAATTCTTCTTATTGTGTCGTTCATTCTGTCTTCCTAAAAAGGTAATTTTTTTAAGTACAGTTATTTATTATTCAATTCCAGCTATCCTTTTTATTTTGATTCTATTAGTATATTAATATAATTTGATTAAACAAAAGTGTAATAATTATATATTTTATAAGCAAAATGATTTTTAATCAACTTTTAAGGGAAAAAAACTTTTAGGAGAAATGTGGAAGAACGGTTTATGCCCTATGCAACTAGTTCTGAGAAGAAAAAAAATGAATTTGCGATCTGGCATAAACTGCTTTTTCCACAGAACATCTTCAATGCGTAATAACTCTCGGTGAGGACCATTTTTCCTTTTTTTTCATTTGTCAAAACTTAGTTATCCTTAAAATGTGGTTCTTGATCTTCAAGTTAAGAACCACTTAAGATCAAGATGTGGTTCTTGATCTTAAGTGGTTCTTGATCTTCAATGATGAATGAGAAGCAACTACAAGGGTTGTTGAGCGTAGCGAACAGGTGACGGAACCACCATGTAGAAAACTAGAATACTTAAAAATAAATTGTGTCGAACAACTATTACTTTGAACGCATGATGCATATTTAGAATCGTCTCTAAAAAGGGACTGTAGAAGCTGATAAATTGATAACAATTAATCTGCTGTAGTCAAGGTTTAAATTATCGTCACCATCTAAAAAACATTTTATTTATTTAAGTATTTGTATGTTTGCGAACTATGGCATGTTTTTGAAATTTTTTTAATTAACTTAAGACTTTAACTGAATTTTACTAAAATAATTTTAAAAGAACTGCACTCATTAAAAAAGGTATGAAAATGATTCATTGGATTCGTTTTGTACTATGAAAATTGCCGTGTTATCGGGGGCACGAAATACTATTTCATTTTTCACCCATTCATGGTTAAAATAGCTCCACTGAGTTCTAATTACAAAATCATTCTATTTCGTCTAAAAAGTTATGCCTTTTCAAAATGATTGATATGCAAATTGACCGTGAATTTAAAACTAAACCAACAATTTAATTGGACAAACAGATAAAA